TTTTCTCTAACTAGAACATCTGCAGAAATGCCACTGAGGGATTTTGGCTTGTTGTTTTAGATAGAAAATTGCAGAAGTCCTCCCATTTTTTCCTCTTTTGAGGTTGGACAAAAAATACACCCAGCAGTTGAAAGCTGGGGCATGTTAATAGAAAAAAAATTCTCAATAAAATATCCACTACTTCTAGAGGCAGATTTATGCTATATAATCACCATTTCAAAGGCTAAGGTCACCACCAAACATGTCAACCCACCGGGATATCATAACACATAAATTACATAATCAATAGCACATGTTTTCCTCCTTTCTTTACCAATTAATGGATTTTTAAAGTAAGAAAGCTCGGCTTAGATTGTTCCAATCATGTTGGGTGGGGAAACCCATCAGAAGGAATATTAAACAAAAAATCATTGCTTAAATAATCAGTAGGAGTCTGGTGTTTAAGATGCTCACATCAATTCTTTCTTGTGCAGCATTTAGCAAGTGCACAGGAGCATCAGCTGTACTTCCAGTTCTGCTTCAGACCTTCTGAGAATTTTAGTAGTTCTTTAGAGAAATGGATGTATGCACTACCAGAAGATACTCCAGCTTTTTACTTTTTTACTTCATCTCAGAGTGATAACATGTTTCTGTGTCAATGTACTTCTCCTCATACAAACCATTTCATTATCCTATACCTCCTCCACTCTTCTTGCAGATTCTGATTAGAGCTTTCTAATTTTGAATGGGATTAGGGCCAGGGGATGAGATAGTGAGTGATTTATATCAGTTGATGGGATATTTCCTGCTCTTACTGTGATGTTTTCATATAAATTAGGTATTTCTTTGTCGAGGTAATGGGAGTTTGCACCTGGCTCAGCTCTTTACACTAATTATTCTTCCTATCTATTTACTTACTAAATTATAGGTATTTTGGGCTGAATTGTGAAACTCAGTGGTCACTTGTAAGGATAGTCCCATTTAATTAGTAGGCATACATACTTGAATAGGTGCTTATCAGTGCAGCTTGGTTTAATTTCTGTTTGCTTGCAATGAATACCCAGAGCAGCATAAGCACTGTTCCATGGTGTTGATACCTGATCACATCACATGAAAACATGCTTTTGAAAGTGCATAGGAAAGAGAGTAAAGCACAAGCTCGTTTTTGTGCTGGATTTCTTAACTGCTGCAGGCTTGGCTTTGTCACCTTCACTTTCAGCTTAGGATTTCTTGGATATGCAGTTAATGTTCTTAAATGAGAGAAAGAGAAACCAGACTCCCCAGAGCAAACCATTTCTGGGTTTGTGTTATGTGAAGGACCTTCCTGAGTCCCACTATAGTTCATCAGTGACTTTCCAGAATGTATTTCCTAAGGTGGCCAGAGTGACCTCAGGCAGAGATTTCTTCAGACTAGCTTCTCTGGAGTGATCCCTTGAAGGAAGCCTACACCCTGGTAGGTTTTACTGTCAGCAGAGGTGAGACTCGAAGAACCAGTTCCTGTTCCAGAGGGACATATACTCTCAAGGAATAGTATGTTCCTTTTGTGTTCATCTAGCAGTGGTTGGTCACTGCTAATGGGAGAAATGCTGTATGGTACTTGACAAAAGCAAGGCTAAGCATATGAGGTTAGTGGGTTTGGAGGCATTGCTTCTCTAGCTGGTTGGTTGGTTGGTTGGCAGCTACTAACCTTTTGTGAGCTAGAAACTTTGGAGAGCAGAGAGCTTGGGAAGACAGTCCCCTCATAGTTAGTCCGTTTTTTCCCCTTACCCCTGATTCCAATGAGACTTCTTCTTTCTTTCCACCATGATCCAGGCTCATGGACGAAGGACACAGGTGGAGTTTTCAAACCCTAAAAAGTCTCCCCTGAGCCTGCACAGTCTCAGCTTATAACATGGCTGATTTGGACAAAATCACACAGGGGCAGCAGGAAGGCCAGTTTTGACTGCACAAGTGCCATATTCCTTTTTCAGCTTGTGGACCCATCACAAGATCCCTCCACACTGCTCTTTTCATATGTATAGTCTGTAAGAGGGCAAAATGTGTTTTTCCCCTAGCCTTGTGCTGTGAAGCTACTGAACCATTTTGCTGAAGCCTTCCCAAAAACCACTTAGCCTGGGGCAGACAGCATACATGGAAAAAATCCAGCCCAAACAGCTGAAATATGGCAAAGTTGAACTCAAACTGAAACACATTCTTCTCATGGAAAAGTGTTGGATGACCTCTGATAGGCAGAGTCCTCCACTCCACCTAGCTGAGACGCACAGGCAAAGTATACATACTGCTTACCATCCGTGCTCATCATCTTGGGTGTATGTACTCCAAGCAGCAAATTTTATGCATAAAAACATACCCTCTTCTCTATATACATGCTGCATAGCTCCCTGCTACGCAGGATTCCTGGCCGCAGATCAGTTGCATCACTCCCCTGATGTCATCCTGGCATATACCACCTCCAGCATTCTTCTCTGCCTGGGCAAACTGTATAGTCCAAGACTGTTTTTTCTTTCTTTTTTTTTTTCCCTTTCTTTTTTTTTTTCCCTGTTTGGTTGCTGCCACTGCAGAAAATCAAAGGCAGCCTCACACATTTGTCTCTGTTTTTCATTTTGTTTTGCTACAGAAGTTAAAACGAAAAGTTTCGAAGGACTTTCTTCAGCACAAGTGAGGAAGCAGCTGTTGACCATGAAAAAAAGCCCCTAAGTTTGTGCTTCCTGAGCTAGGAAATAGCTGCCATCGCCACCACTACAGTTTCTATAGACATTTCTTGTGGCTTGGGAGATGACTTGCTCTGACACTGTGGCACACAAGGCTGGGGGCTGACACCGGGGTGGGGATGGGAGACTGGGCAAAGTCATGTGGCTGTGACTCACTGCGAGTTACTTTTCAAAGCGTTTACTGAGACCGTATGTCCAACAGCTCGTGCCAAGCCCTGTATGAAATCTACCCTGTGTTATAGTTTCCTTGAAAGAAGGGTGGAAGGAGCAAATGCTGTGGGTACGTTGATCAGCACAGCCTGTGGAACGGGTGGCTGTGCCACGAGGATGGCATGTTTTGCTTTTGTGCAAGTCAAGAGGGCAAAACTGCTGTTGTCCATTATCACTGTTAGCACACAGTTAAAAAGTGTTCTAGATAAATGGTACTTGGTGCCACAGGTGACCTTTGTGCTGCATGTGCACAGGCAGAAGGTCCCTGCAGGAGGTTTGGCAGGGCCTTCTGCAGTCAGGGCCAAGTCATTCTGGAAATGGGCTTTACAAACATTTCCTCCTCTTTGCACAAGCACAAACACAGCAACATAGGAAGGGTTGCTCTCGTTTCCCAGTTTATGCCCACTTACTTCCGCATGTGGGCATCAGCGCTCATGGGCTCCCATGCCTCTCTGCCAGCACTCAGTGGGGCCATGGTGTCATTACATGGGGTTGAGCAGACACTGACACAGAGGGTGTATAGGAAGGTTCATAATGGCAAAAACTGGATCTCTTAGTGTTATCCTGTGATAATGAGAAACAAGCACATAAGTTGTGACAGACAAATCAGACCTTTTTGGTGCCTGAGGCATTCACTTGCTGTGACTTCACAGCAGGCATTGCTTAGCTTCATGCGCTTGTCCTCATGACAGTCCTTTGAAGTCTTTATTTATAGTGCAGGAGTACCACAAAACATAAGCGTTTGCCGCCGGTGGCTGGGAGCCAGTTGCCTTCAATGCTTCCTGGTCTGGGGAGTAAGATTTCCCTTTCCCTCACCATGGTCAGAGTGTGGCTCTGCAGTATGGCCTCTCCACAGCTGCTCAGGCTGGTCTCATCAGACTTGCCTAGGATGATATGGCCTCTTTCCTTGTCCTGGTCCAGTGCTGCTGCTGAAGTGGAGAGGAAGAATGGTCAGGGAGACTGGGGCATGAGGTACATACCCTTCATGTGGCATGTACAGCCTTAATGTCATGGGTTTCCAAGTGTGTGTGTGGCTGCGAAACCCATGTCAAGAGCTGTGTAGGTATTTAAGGTACCTCCATATATTATGTTGGGTGTCTGAGCTCCATTCAGTGATGTTTTGTGGCCCTGTATGGCAATAAGGCCACAGCGATGTGGGACCTGCTCTGAGGGCCAAAGACTTGTTGCCTGTAGGTTATTTTTGAGGCTATGAAAGCAGTGTGCTGCTGGACAACACTTTGAGGGTCAGTTCTCATTTGCCCTGGACTGGTGTTTTACCTGTAGCCTATTCTCTTTCTTACAAGCAGGAAGAATCTGCTTGCAGTAGGGTATGACAGAAAAGGGGATATAAGCACAAGTCTCAGAGACATGATTTGGTGTAGTGTGATTTAGTAACTCCACCACTGCCACACCTGGAAGCAGGAAAGCAAAGAGAATCAGCTGTTATCATGTCTCACTTTTCTTCTGCTCTGCCCATGGGACCTGCCTTTCTTCAGAAGATGCTCCCTGCACGCCGGGCTCAGCAGGTGCTTTTCACCTTGAGGTTCTGTGACCCACCTGGTGGGAGAAACACTTGCCATTTTCCATGGCATTTCTGGTGCTAGACAGTGACTGCCACAAAAGTGCCGCTGAGGGGCTTGGGTTGGCTGTCCTTTCTGCACTAGGGTAGCACACAGCAGTGATGACCACCTGTGCAGTGGTGGTCAGCCAGGCCCATATAACCGATACAGCTTACATATCAGCACAAAGTGTAGCCTGGAAGCACCACACACACACTCGTTTAACATCCTTCCAGCTGTCGCTTGCCCAGGATACCAAGACATGCCATGTGAGGACCAGCACCACCGGCACCAAGCTTTGTTTCACCTTCCACTATATTTCCTTCTTAGCAAGGAAATATTTCTCTTGAAACTGTAGCTCCATAATGAATGTACATTTGCTGAGATAAGGTTTGTGGGAGAGTTTTGTTTCATATACCGCTGAATACACAGTTAGCTGAGCATATTTCTGAATATTTCTTTTCTCTCTTTTGTGGGGGCAAGGAGGTGAAGTGCTATGCTGTGGAAAGGAGAAATAATGTAGTTCCTTTTTTTCTCCCAGGAGGTCCTGGTGACAAGTCCTTGAAGGACGCAGAAGTAACTGCATGCCAAAGGAGCCCAGGAGACTAGGTCTAGGAAACCTAACCCAGGAGCCTTTTCTGGAGAATGGGGAGAATGCAGAAAGAAAAGGCTTTCACAGAGGAAGTAACAAATTAGCAGGACCAGAAGACTGTGTGGAGGAAAGGAGGAAGCTGAGGGGTTGCCGGTGCATTTACAAGCTGTTCTGAACAAGGTGCTGAACTTCTCAGGAAGCCATTTCGGGTTAGCCAATGATCCAGTGCAGCCCTGCTTCTGGCTCTGAGACAGCCTGGATGGGCAAGGGACGATGCCCTTTCCCTGTGGTTTCCCATGCTCCCTCTCTGGCTGGCCAGTTTATATTGCTGGCTAATTGGGAAGGAAAGTCATTTCCTCCTTAGTTTTCCCTCCCCACATGCTTACAGTGAGTGTGGAAGTAGGATTCTGGAGTCCTTCCTTTCTTCTAGGGGCTGGGATCCTGGACCCATGTACTCAGGCTGAACCACTATGGCCCTGGATGGAGAAGTAGGTGGGGACAAATGAAGTAGCAGGTTGAGAAATCTTTTTTACAGAAAATGGGGGAAGGAGGGGTGTGTGTGTGTGTGTGTGGGGAGGCAGGTTACCAGCCACCCCATTGCAGCAGACAGTGTGTTTTCATTGTGATGCAAATATCTTTATGTAATTTGGGCCAGGTTCAGGTTCACCCAGTTATTGTGGTGAGAACTGAAACCAGGATGTCTTCACTTTTGCTCAGAGCTCTCAATGCTCTCTTCTTTTGCTGCAATCCCAGAGCTTGTTTAGTGACTGGGCTGCTTCTGTGTCTCTACAGAGGGGACATTTGGTGTTGCACATCATCGACCTTACTCAGCGAGGCAGTTGTGCTCCTCTCCACCTCTCTGGAGGTTTTTTTGCTCCTAACTGCTTCTTTTTTTTTCTCCAGAACAGGCTGGTGGGATGTGCCTGTGTGCTCCCACATGATGCTATGAGGTTTTGAAACCTGGTTTTGTTCAATCAGAGCTGCTCACACTAAAATTAGGCTCACACTGTCTGTGGCACCTGCAAACGTAGAAACCAGCCCCATGATACCAGAGTGCAATCGCTGAGACTCTGCACTGTACACCAGTGTGGACAGCTTTGAAAATAGTGTCTTTGCTTCTGGGAAACATGATATACAGATTTGAACAGGAAATTTACTGCCTTCTTACTCAAAACTTGACTCGTCCTCACCCCCCTGCTAGCAGTGAGCCTGTAAATGTTTAGGTCGCCTCACTGTTATCCTGTGTAGGGTCTTTGTTCCTTGTCTCTCCCACTTATGTTGACCTAGCCCCACTTCTCTCCCCGCACAGCTGGCATTAAACTCTGGGGGCACAGGGCAAAGGCAGAGTCTGGTCAATTCCTGCCTGCCCCCCTTGGAGGGGCTGACTTTTCCTGCTGTCTAATGTGGATTAGTGGGGCTCCCTTCCAGTTTTGGGCCTTGGGCACTCACCTTAGGAGCTCTCTCCTAAATCTAATTCTGTTCCGCTTTGTCCAGATTATAATGCTCCCTGGAATTCATTTTAAATGGAGAGCAGGGTCAGGGGAGGCTTCAGGGGCAGCTTGGATGCTCTTAGGGCTAGGGCTATGCTGAAGGCACTTCAGGCCCATAGAGTAGAATTGGCTGCTAAAATCATAGTGGTTTCCTGAGCTGGCTGTTAAAAAATCACCTTCAGCAAGCTCAGCTCCCTATGGTCTCTGCTGTCTCTCCTAGTACCCAGGCTCTCAGGCTGGGCTTTGTCCATGGCTGCTCCTCCCATGCCAGCTCAGACCTAAAAATGTCCATCCCCACCAGTGGAGGGGCCCAGCCCTTGCTATTTCTTCATCCTGGACCTATTCCTCATGGTTCCCGGCCCTGGCCCTGACACAGCCGGCAGCTCAACCTGCCTGGGTTCAACGCTCATCCAACCTTTTTGGTACATTGGGTGGAGATGGAGCTCGGATGAAAGGGTGCAAATCTCAATCATCTCTTTCTCTGAAGGATCTATTCCTGCTTTACGGACTCACAGTCCTGTAAGGCAATTTGGTTTCCTTGCACTTAAATGCAGCTGTTTCTGGTGCAAAGTATGGCAGCTGTTTTACACTGCACAGGAGAACACTTTAACAAAGAAGACCTAATAATTGTGCTTGGCTGAATCTGTGAGGGGAATTTAGGTGGAGGGAATGTAATTATTGGAGTTTGGCCAGGACACTGGGAGAAAACACCTGTACTCATGACATGTGCTGTGAGATAATAATTTGCAGCAAAGTGTGTGCAGTAAAGCAGTCAGAGTCGCAGTAAAGCAGTAGGTCACTGTGCTGGATGTGCAGTGTCGTGAATAAAGTCCTCCTTTCTTTCTCCATGGGGAATGGGGTTTTAATTCTTTGTACATGACAAGCGCATGAGCCAACCATGTCCTTTAATGGGCACTCAAAGAAAGAGGTAGTGGTCTACTCTAATTTCGTAGGGTCCATGGGGAACCTGTTGGTAAGTTCTTCTGAAATAACTCTGGTTTCCTGGGCTTTGGTTTCACGTATAGCTAGAGAAAAAAGCAAAACTGAAATCTTGGCTCTGTACACCCTGAAACAGTAGGGATGGAAGAATAAGTGTTTCTTCATTAGGACTGGCTCTCTTCCAACCTGCCCCAGAAGGGGTAAGGGGCTGAGTTCAGGTTTTGAGGTGGCAATGCTCAAGATCCTGAGGTTCTTATGGATGAGATGCTAAGCGAGCTGGTCCCCTGGCCAACCTGAGGCTGAAGTCATGACAACACCTTCTTTGTTTTCTCACTTGTTTTGTACCATCCCTAGCCCTTAAGCAGTTCCAAACCCAACTGATGTTCCAATTTTACCATCTTTGTTGACCATCTTTTGCCGTGCAGTTATTTTAAGGTTTGTCAGATATGAAGATTCAAAGCTTATCAGAGAGGAAACAAAAACATTTTCATGTTGTGTTTTCTCAGTGGCCAGCCTGAGAGGGGTTGAGATCTGTGACCTAACTCATATGGATGTGACTCATATCACACTACAAATGAAAAATGAGTGTAATTGATACTGATCCTAAATTTGACATCTCTTTGATCAGCTTCAGGACTAGCTTTGCCTGACAGCATTCATTCTTGGAGCTGGGCTCCTTCTCAACTTGAACAATAGCATTAAATGATCTCTTAATAAATAAAAAAAGGATGAAAAATTCCTACAGGCTCACTGCCACCACTAAGAATGCAATTGACTTTTGGACTGGACCACAGAATTGCTGTGACAATGAGGGACTGACTTTTTCTTATGGAGGAGGAAGTGCTGTGTTACTCAGAGGGCATGAGGCTACAAAAAGTGGCACTAGTTCTTGGAAACAGCACTGCTGGTTTTGTTTGTTTTTTTTTTTTCCCAACAAATCCAGGAATATTTAGGGGGATTTCCAAAGAGAAGAATTGTGGCTGTAAAGAATGGGGCCTGTTCCAGAAAGATAAATCAATCTCTAAACACAGGGATCCTCTAGAGGAATAATGTTATTTTCTCCCAGCTATTGATGAGATAACTATTAACCCCAATGAGAATGATAAGAGGAAGTTCTTATGATGAAACGTTTACAAACAGGAAAACCCCGCGGCCTATCTTCTTAGCACCTAAAGCAAAGTCTAATTTTGCCTGGGGGAGGTCCTTATACCAAGTTTGGTCTTTTTTGTTTGTTTCAGCTCTTGAGACCTCCAAGGTTTAGGTGAATAGGGGGCATCAGGGAACCCATCCTCAGCCAGGGATTTGGAGTGCAGAATCCCTGATGCACTTGGAGACACGGCCCCATTACTCTGTGCTGTCAGCTCGCAGCTGGTTAATTTTTATCTTTGTTCCCTTTTGGGAGAACTGTGTCTGATACCTGCCACGAGAGGCAAGAAAACAAGTGTGGTTCTTCCATGTTTGCCTAGTAAACGCTGAGCAACAGCAGCTTGGACCTTCACCGTTTCTTGGAAGCTGTTTCAGTTTCCAAGACTGCTTGTTCTTGGTGATCTGCTGCATATCTCTGAGGCACACATCTTCTGTGCTGTATGTAAATCTGCAGCAATACATCCTAGATTCCTGTAAGCTCATACCTCCCCCCCCCCCCATTCGATTAATAGAAACCCTGAGTTCCTTTTTTAGCTTCCTCTACTGACCACAACTCACGTCATGAGTGAAGTCCCGCCTGCCATGCTGCCTGCCAGCATGTGTGCATATGGTCTGCAGAACATGAATACAGCAAACCACTTCACAGCATTGTTGTTTTCTTTTGCTTCTTTACCCCCCCCCCCTTCTCTCAGTGGAAACTATTAAAGACCGAAAGCCTTTGCTAATAAAATTCACACAGCTGCTGTTGCTGCAGCTGAAATCCTAACACTACAATAGGGATTTCCAGGCATGGCTGCCCCCCTTGCAAAGTGCACTGAAGACGGCAACGCGTGGAAAACCATTGCAAAGACATGTCACTGTGTGTTAGCCACCAAACCTGGAAATGAACTAGCCTGTGAGGCTGTTCTCTGCAATCACTGCAGGCTTGAAATTTCCTCCCTCACTCCTGTGCTGCCCTTCCCCCAGGCAGAGCTATGGTTTGGAGAAGCCAGGTTCAGATGCCAGTTCTGTCCTGAAGGTGGGGATAATAGAGTTCACCGGAGGCTCACATTTGGCCTGTCAACAGCTGGCCATTTGTCTTCTAAGCTTCCAGTTGCCTGATAATGAGACATTGTAATGAGAGTACTGACACTACAGTGAGGTTCTGCTGCAGGGCAAAGGCAAGGGGGGAGAAGACCTCCACTCTTGCTTTCCCTCTTCTCCCAAACAAAGTTCAGAATGTTTGAAAAGCCACACGTACATAAAAATTAATTTGCAGGTTCAAGATTTGATCAATCCAGAATGAGTGCTTGGGAGGAACTTCTGGCTGTGCTACAGATACATTTTCTGGTGGATCCAGCCATGCCAGGCTAGATAGTCTTTGTAGAGTGGCAGGCACCTCATCTTGGGCAGGAGTGTTTAAAGGACAGAAGAAAGGTTGATTTCTGTGAGAGTCTCTGTTTCTGGATTTCCTCCCCCTTTTCAATACAAGCCAGCATTTATCTGTAGGTTTCCAGAGGAAAAGTAACTTCTGAACTCGTACCTTTGATGCAAATACAGCTTGAGTAGTGGTAGTAGAAAACTCATGTCAGGATACTCAAGCCGTCAATGTGCAGACATACATGTAAGACTTCCAAGTCACAAGACTTTGATTTTTTGTATGTAATCATTTATGCCAGTTGCAATAGGAGTTGCTCTAGTTGGCTTGTACTAATAGAGTTTGGGCAGAAAAATCACTGTGGGAATATAGAGAAGCTGTTGCCCTGTTTCAGGGCCACCAGAGCTTTCACAGAGCCTTGTTGAACACCGTGGCTGACAGCCTGCTTTTTGCCCCAGGTATGAGATGTGGTCTTGCTGAGCCATGGGGCAGGTCTGGATTTATGCTAGGTGTCCTCTGCTTCTTGTGGTGCACAGTTTACTTTATCCTGATGCCCAGAGCCTCATTTTACCTGCCAGTGGTGGAGCAAGAATGAGCGAAGGCCATTTGTAGCAACAACATTATCTTGGCAAATCAAGGTAAATATGCGGTTTTGGTCTAGCATTTACCTGTGTCTGCTAAGAGGTATGAAAGTGCAAGACAGTGTTGCCTTTCCTGATATTTTGCCTGCTTTTAGTGTTCTGGGACTAAGAGCCTTCCCGCTCACCCTCTAGAGAGAGCACCTGCCAGAGACGCTGTAAGCACTGCTGAGCCACTCAAAGTCTTTCAGAGCTGTCTCCTGGTCTATTCCACTCTAGTTTAATGCAAGTGGTTTAAACATCTCATTTTGTCACAGGTGCCTATCTGTAAGAACAGTTAGTCATTTAGAGCACGTATGTAATTTTCTGACATGGTGCCCCATTTCAGAAGAATGCAGCACTCTGATGCAGCCAGCGGAGTGTGTCGTGGCATCACTTAGAGGAAGGAGTAGTCTTTAAAATATGTCCCTGTTCCTGATGATTTGTGTTGTTATAAAATAAATAACTCTAGGGAAAAAAAAAAAAAAAGTAAATATCCCCTCCTTCTCCTCAGTAGTGTTTCTAATTATTGCCAAATCTTGCCTCTGAGCATTTTGCTTTGGCTGTTAGGAACCACATGTTCAGCAAGATACTCCTGCAAGGCTTAAGGCTTCTGCTCCTGAAACTCAGAAATGGGATGTGCTGGCTGGGGTCTGAGGGCCTGATCCTGCAGCTCTTGTTCACATGAAGATTTTAGTCTTGCACCTGTACTGGGTGCAGTGCAAACTCCCTTCTCAAAGCATGATTTGAACAGGGTCTTATTCAATGTTTGGCCTGTCACTGGGTTTATGGGTAAAGGGGTAAAGGGAAAAGAGGACTAAGTGAAAAGAAGTATCCATTGACTTCTGCAGGAGTAGGCTTCCTTGCTTGGCTATAGACTACTTGTTCCCCTGGTTATCGCCTCCTGACTTGTGAAGTTCGTTGCATGAGTTTGAGCTGGTCCTGACAGATCCTGTCACCATCTTCCATCCTTAGCACAAAAAACTCACGTACAACTTCAGAGCAGCTGTTACTTACTCACTTATTTATTTATGAGCGTGTTGGCTCGATTCAATAAAATTTGTTATTAAAAATTATAGCTGGCTCCAGGTTTGCCTGTTCAAATTTGCTGCCTGTGGGCCCTGCTCCCTGCCACTGCTGCTTTTTCACCAGAGAGATGGACCATGTTTTCTTCTCTTGGTGAATGGTCCCTCTGCTCCCCCAGCCTGCTCCAGCCTGGGTGTAGAAGTTTCTCCTCCAGACCCAGATCCATATTTCTGTGCCCATTGCAGGTCACTATCCCTGCCTGCTCATGCCCTAGCCCCTGAAAGCCCCAGACATTTTGATTCCCAGGGCCAGTTTCTGTTTTCCCGGGAAGAGAGAGCTGCTCAGGTCAAAACATCTGAGCTGAATGGAGAGATCTGCCACCTCTTTAGGCCTCGCTCTCCTATTGAGGGAGAGGGCAGAGGTTTATTGCACCTTCTTTTCAACCTTTTAAGCACAAGCTTCAGGCTGCTGACAAAGTGCTATTTGGCTTACTGCTAACCTGGCAGAGAGCGAGCCCTGTATCTCTTATTTACAGCTGCACTCCTAATTAGTTAGCAACAAAAATACATAATAAAATACAGCTTGTACTCAGACGGGTTATGGCTAAGGCTAAGATGAGATATGGTAAGGTAAAAAACCTCAAGACTCTGAGCCATGCTGAAGGTAAATCCCACAGAATGCAGAAAATTACCTCCACCCTGGGAAAATCAGCCATTTTAGGTGTTCTCCATGCAGAAAGCTGTGAAGGTAACACATCAGAGCCAAGACTAGACAAACACTCATAATGTGTACATAATGAAGCCTCTAAATATTGAACAGGCTGGAGCTTGAATCTTTCCCACTGTGGCAACTCCTGCCTAAAATGTACATATGTGATGATGAAGCCAGAAGATTCTCTATTTTTAAAATATTACTTTAAGACAAGATTGACATCTTTTCCCATGTATATAAATAAATGCATGTGATATACCACCCTTGGATTCACTGTTCTTCTGTCTGTTGCTGGATGTTTGCTAGGAGGATATAGTGAATGCACAAGGACCCAAACACTCATGCTTTTAACCTCACACTTCTACTCAGCTTGGAGACTCACAGTATGTTTGTGCTGATAACATCCCAGACATGTCCTATGGCTACATAGGTGCAATACTCTCAACACAGGGCTGTAAGTATTCCTACACTTTTCTACTAAATCAGCCTTCTCCGATCTTGCTTGCTGTGACTTGGCTTTCAGGACATCTCAGTCCTTGTTTTTTTGCCAACATGAAGCGCCCTTTTGAGTTTTACCCTATTGTCTTGCTGGGAGGGTGTTCATGGAGGCTGGTAGCATTCTGGTGTTGAGTCCTAGTGTTGAATCCTACCTCTGCCTCAGGGGACTTTGGCCCATTTCTGCCAGGTGAGTATGGCTTTTGGGCACTCAAAGCTGTTTTTTCTCAGCCCCAGAAACTGAAGCACTTGTGTTTTAGCCTTAGCTAGTCTTTAGATTGGAAATTGCGTGCTAGTTGTCTCATTTCTGGATGAGTGCTCAATATATAAAACTGCTTTTGCACTAGATTTCTTCTCTCACGTTCTCCACTTTTTCTCTACCCCTGCAAGCAGTGGGGACCCAGTAAAGTCCATAACTCAGTGCTGTGAATCCCATCAGTCAGCAAACTTTCTGCTGAGTTTTGCAGTTTGCTGGAGTGTGCTGGCCTGCCTCGTGAATCTGGCCTGCCTCGCTGAGTCCAGCTCACCAGCTCAAGAACAAAGACCTTATTTCTTCTTGAGGCCCTGCAGAACTTGGTCTAGGAGTCCGTGGGATGCAGTGATGTGTTGTGGTTTCTTTTTTCCTTGATTTTTTTGATTTTTAACAAAATTATTATTCTTTTTTATTCAAGCATTTTCCAAAACACAAGCTAAACAACCTTTTTCATTTTTAAATTAGTTCTTTGGTGTGCCTGAGTGAGTCACACTGATAGAAGAGCTCAAGGCCAGTGCTGTGCCAGATACTTGCCCTCAGCATGAGTACTGCCTGTAGATGGTCCATGTCACTGCGAATGAGACCTATCTGCCCTTGCAGGTGAGCCAGAAAAAAAATGATCATGGATATTCAGAAAAAAGAAAAATAATTAAAAGTCTTCTGCTAGCTAGATTTTTCCTGTAGCTGTAAAGTGCAAGAATTCCCTTTTCATTAAAAGTAACTCTATTTCCCGAGCAGTGCCTCCAGGCATCTCCCCCATACAGATAATCATGCAGAGAGCTGGTCATGTCTGAGGTCTCCAGCTGGGAGAGTCTTTTGCTTGGAAGGTGCTGGGGCAAGAGCAGTCCAGCTGGACAGCAGTCAGAGGTCATTTCCACCTGATGGCAAGCTTTGCAAGCCGGTCTGAAATAGCTTGGTTCTTCCACAGGTTGTTTTCTGTAGATTCAGGTTTCTACACCGTGAAAGCTACAGTCAGTAATAACAGTGTTTAGCACAGTCTGGGTTCTCTGGGCCTGAAAGCCAAACTTTGCTGCCCTGCCTAAACCAGGGTTGAGCTGAATGTGGAGGCAGTGTCTTTAAAGATGGGGTTTTTTGGATAGGGCTTTGAGCAATCTGGTCTAGTGGAGGGTGTCCTTGCCCATGGCAGGGAGATTGGAAATGGATAATCTTTAAGGTGTCTTCCAACCCAAATCACTCTGTGATTCTGTGATTCTGTGTTTTTTCTGGTGCAGAAGACAGCAGTAGCACCAGACCAGAATCAGACCATGCACTTGTGTCTGCCACAGTTTGACTCCAGTCTGCTTTGGCAGAGCAGTCCCAAGGGAGTCCTGTGTTCCCTGCTTTAACTTCCGAGGAAAAAAAAGGACAGGACTCTCTGTGAGAAGTCTGATGAAATTGGCTGCTTTAGGATCAGAGGAATGCTGCTCCCCTTGTCCCCTGTTGAGCTTTAGCAGCCACTGTGGTTAGGGCAGAGATTTCATCCCTACTCCGGAGAGATGCTGTGTAGGTATGAACACTGACAGAGACAAAGCGAAGTTGCATCTAATTCACCTTCCTCTGGATGAGGCCCAAGGGAGCAGGTGTGCTGTAAGGATGAGGAGGTCTCTGAGGGGAAAAATCCCCTAAAAATTACAGAGGAAATATACATGGAAAAATTACAAAGACAGCAAGAGATTAATTAAATTACCAGAAACTTAGAAAAATAGAAAAAAAAAAAGAAAACAATTGGAGTATTTTTCCCTCCTTCTTTACAACAGCTGTGTCAGTATCTCTCCTTTCCTTCCCCACAGCAGTGTGGCCTCCTCTGTGAGAGCTTCAGCATGAGGCATTACACTTGAGGCAAAAAGACAGCCATCAGTGAGAAAGCCTAGAAATAGCCACTGCAGACTATAAGATTTCAAAGCGAACAGAGAAAAGATGGTCCCCAGACAGGGCAATCAGGCATGGCTGGGCCGGGCCACCCAGGGAGGAAGAGAGGACATCCATCCCCCCTGCAGCCGCTCAAGGGCTGCCGCCAGTGGCTGCCTCAAAGGAGATGGATGAAAGAGGTGCAGACCTGACGTACCCATACCACAGAGTGACTGCTCAGCCTAACAGGGCTGCTCCTTGTGAGACATGGCTTTCCCCACTAGCGCAGAGAAGCAGCAACAGCTGGGCAAAGGCATTTCTGCCTTTAGTCAGTGTCGGGCAGAAGCTGCCTCTGAAAGACTCATCCTATGAGCTGGTGGTAATGTGGCCTTGATTAGAAATGGGAGGCTTTCAGGAAGGATATGTTAAAAAACCCACAAACATAACCAAAATGGAGAAAACTAAAAATCCTAGTGGGAAAGGTTGCAGGAATAAGCAGGGGCTTGCCCTGGGGAAACTTGTTTTGGTCTTTATAGTTTAAGGCATATGAGCATGTTTCCTCTGCTGACTGCAGAAAATCCCCATTGGCTGAGTGCAGAAAATGCCCCTGTCCTGCAGCGCAATGTGTTCATCCTCCTCATAGCCCTCCTGCAGGCCTTCCACTCATGCAGAGCAAGTCTTCTGCATGGTGTGGCCACTCTCTACTACTTATCCCTGAACATCTCCTTCTGCTGACTGCTACTCCCACTGCCTCCCATCTTTCTTTGCAGGAGGGGCCTGTAGCAGCAGTCTACAAACTACAAACCAATAGTCCTTTCTTATCCTCCTCTGCCCTGGGATGTGTGTGGTGGTAGTGGCATGTTCCTGGCATGTTACCCATTGCTCTGTGTGCAAGACATGGCCCAGGGTGACCAAGCAAATGAGGAGCCACTGAGCTGGGACATCATCCTTCCAGAGGGTTTGCACAAGTCCCCAGCTTTTGCATGAGTTCCAGCTGCCAAAGCCTTGCCACAATACTGTCTTCCCATCTTCTTCTGCATCAGCTAATGTCGTAGGGCTTCAAAATCTGAGTCCAAATCATTGGTTATGGAGTACTGTTCCTGCTACAGCTGCTACTCCCTCCCCTTCTCCAGTCTTTTATTTCTTCTTCCTGGCATGGGCTTAGGTGGGCATGCATGACTTACGAGTTTTAATTTCCTGTGGGAAACATTTCTTGTGGCCTGCAGGTAGGTGCTTTGTTATTTTTCCTTCCCTACCCTGCCTCCCCCATTTGGTCTTTCCTTAGCTTTAGAGCTTTTCTGTGGTACTGACTGGCCCTTTGAAGATCCTGAGCCCCTTTGAATCTCATTTACAAAAGGGGCAATGGACACATAGGCATGTGTGTGTATGTGTGCATTGCATGTTTTTGTATCTCTGTGGTTAAAGAGAGGCGTATGTGTACACATACATACATATACATCTATAAATATATATACATAGCTTGGGCTTTGAAATACATCATGTCCTCACCCAATTTTTTCCATTTGGGATCCCAAATGATACATTTTTTTTTCATTTCACTCCAACTGACAGATTTCCTTGGCCCTTAGGATGTAGGGTAGGACTTCATGAAGTCATCCTTACCCAGGATTCTCATGGTCCACAGGGCCTTTAAACATCACTTATAAAGTGGATGTGTAATCATGGCCATCTTCAACATGTGTCCTGCTGCACTCAGGGTCCTTTCCAATGTTAGAGATGAGTGTGTGCTACTCACCCTGAAATACCATGTATTTAGCTGGGGATTTTTGAGAACAGTTTGAAAACACTTGACCTAGGTTGAGTAAAAGGCTTAAATGGCTGAGATTTCTAACCACTCACAGAACTCAGTGCATTGCACTGGGGAGAAATTTGGGGGTTTTGCTGAAAACCAAAGCTTTTCCTTTTCCTCACAGTTCTTCCTTGCTCATTTATTAGCTGCCTCTGCTTGGCTACTGCACAGAGCCACATCGTGCTGCACAGATGCTCTCTGCTCAGCAGCCCCATAAAATCCTCATTTTCAAATGAGCCGAGCATCTGGACAGGTTCCACTGGCTTTCACCTTATTATCACAGGGCTCCTGCTCTAGCCTACCAGCCAGACACACCAACATCAAAGACATTGTGTAGATTCACACTAGATAAAAGCCTGGCCCACCCCTCTTGGGATACACCCATTCTCTACCCACATAATGCCGCTTTCCCACCGGGCTGGCTGTGGGGTAGGGGTAGGGTGGGACCATTGCTCAGCATGGCAGCCTCTGCCCACATTCCCTCTCTGCTGGAGGCACCCAAACGCTGCCTTGGCCCCAGGCCGTGTCTACAGAGGGAACTTCACGTGCTGCCTTCTCCTTTGCAGGCAGCAGCTGCTGATGGTGCCATGGGTGCAGAGGAACAGGCACATTTGGCTGCTGTCACAGGCTCTCTGGGCAATAAATGCCACATGCTGCAGACAAGGCATAATGGGGTCTTTTTCTGCACCCATCAGGGACCTTTTGGACAGTAGCATTTTCCTGTGGATTTGTGGGAATCCAGCATGAAGCATCTGAAGTCCTCTTTGGGCCCTTTTTTTACCCTGCGGGTAGAAAAATTCCAGCAGCCCCATTCTCTGGCCTGCCTTGCATCACCTTCATCTCCCAGGGTAAGGTGACTCACTCTGCTGCCAGCTGGGCTACAGTTGTTTTGGGGAAAACTGAGAGCTCTCCTCTCCAGATCTCTTTTCCCGGGTACAGGGCTTCTCTGGATACAGCCTCCTGATGTTATTGAATTGGTTTAAAAAGGCTGGACTCTGCTGGGTTTCCTGTGAAACGAGATCCTGAAAAAAACAGTGGCTGCACCTTTTCCAGAAAGGCCCTGCTGTCAGCAAAATGCAGCTCGGAGTAGTGGGGCAGCATCTCTGTGCGGTATAACAGGCTGCCTACATGCTGGAAAGGTATGAGTTTGCACAGCTTAGCTTATATAAATTGAACAGCAAGTGCCAGCACACTGCAGTCATATGAGAGAGCCCAAAAGGTTTGAAGTGTTGCAGAACAAAGCTACTTTTATGATTTATACACTTGCCAGACAACCATCAAATTCTTTGCTGAAACTGGAGCTTCCCTGGTAGCACCACGAGGGCTGGCCAGCCTGCGAGGAATTCTTGGCATCAGAGCAGCTGTCCCAGAGTGGTACAAAGAGCTTTGCCAGTGTGAGATGGAGCTATCAATAGGATGTCTATCAGGGCAGGCAACAAATGGGCCGCTGATCTTGGCTTCTTCCACCTCACCAGCCCCAGTGTGTGTGATACACAGTGGTAGCAGCCTCCTAGACAACTGTCATAAGATGTCTGAGCAAGGTGTGGTAGCAGGCCCTGTGCTTTGTAATGAGCTCTTGATCATCTGCTTCACAGAGCTGAGTGGCTGGAGCAAGGGGAGAAGCTTATGGGGTGTGATGTCTCTGTGTGCTTAGGCTTTGGGCTGTCCATGGGACATGGTGTGCTCAGGAAGAGGGCAGGAACTGACCCCATGTTGCAGGACAATGGTGGCCACTGTTGGTCCTTCCTGAAAGGGCAGAGGTAGCTGGCATGTGGGCAGTTGGTAGCAGGAGGGCATCCCTATGATCTGTAGTCCAGGGGAATGGTATGGAGGTCAGTCTTATGAAGGGTTTGATCATGTTGAGTGTCATGCCAGGCTCTCAGCTTTGCTGCACTTCTTTTCTGTGTGCCCAGCGAGGAGGTTCTTAGGTGTAACCTTTCTCAGGTACCATTTGCTCCTGCCTAAGCCAGTATTTCATTACTTTATAGCCAGATGAAGCATCTTTATAAAGGCAACAGGAGAGGTGAGCACTCCTGAAGTTTTGCCTGTTGAGTGAACTTTGGCCACTGTGCCCATCTGGGTGCACGGCTTAACGGTAGGGGCTTGTGCATCAGTGCTTTCCTGGAGGTGGGTAAGAAACACTAGTTAGAGCCTTCAGCCCAAAGTCTCTTTGCTAGTGCTAAGCTTCTATGCACTGAGACGTTATTTATTTGGAGAACAGCTCTTATTGCTGCTGTTTTGCCAGAAAACATCCTCTGGTTTCCGCTGGTCTCTGAGCCCGCGGCATTAGAGATTATTTTCCACATTTGTTTGCACATTGCTCTCATTAATGCTTCCAGCAGAAGTCTGTGGGCACTAAAGGAAGGAGACAGGGCACAAAATCAATGGCAGGCAGGCAGGCAGAAGGATGCGGCATGTGAAAGCCCTGCAGGAATGTGTTTGAATATCACCATAGAAAAGGTTTTGGAGGTTTTGCAATGGCTGTAATGGTACACAGCCATGGTGGGGACTATCCCATTAGTCACTATGGGTTGACTGTTCAGATGAAGGTATTTCACCTAAAGGAAGGAGGCTGTATCTGCTCGAAAAGATTTTCAGGGTGGGACTCCAGTTTCAGGCTCACAGTATCTGGGGATCTCCTGTACTCAACAGGCTATCACTGGAGAGCACTGGACAATTCCAGAATGATACATAAATAGCTAAATTTACTTTAGGCATTGGATTTGGTCAGCCTGGCCAGTTCCTTCTTCTAGGTTTTCCTCACAAAGTGCGTTCCATCTGGTATTTCTGTATCAGCTGGAATGACTTACTTTGTAGGAGCATAATGGTGATGATGCTCTGTAGTTGCATAGAGGAGAGTAGATAGGGGAGAAAGGGAAACCTGTGCCAGAACATAAACATGTCAGGTTATTTTAATATGGGGTGAAGTGGGGGACTGGTTGCACTGAAGAATGGATTTTTGCTCAGACTCCGAGTGCATCTACATTTTAAGGTAAGGCAAAGAGGAAGTCCAGTTAACACATGGTGAAAGAACTGGTCCTTCCTATTGGGAGCTGTTGGTTTTGCTCTGCTCCCCATGTTTATTTGCAGGCAGGAAATTTGTCTTCTTGACTTTTTCTTCCCCCAGCTAATGTGGACTGGCCATCTCTTCCATTTAAACAGAATCCAGCAGCATTTTGATGCCAGGGAAAATACCAAAATGTTGCTCTGAAAGCCACAAAGGGTTCAATTATTTCCTGGAGACGATATGAAGCCTATTGAATTGCAAGAGATGGTTATCGGCTCTTGTGGAGGAAAAGGGCTGGGAGTGAGTGGAATAGAAATCATTGTGCAGGCAGCTTTTGCCTATGAAAATCACCCAGCTCAGTTCATAAACTTAGGTTAAGCATAGAGTGTGGGAAGAGAAAAGGGGGACTGAAAATCTTGGCACTTTCTTATCCTGATCTCTTCTGCTCTGCACTGGGCCTGGGCTCCAGGGACTGATGGCTGCGTAAAACAGAAGCACTCTCAGCTCTGGAGAGTGGGAGAAGGAGGGATCTATCCTGTAGCCCTTCTCCCCACCGTTCCTCCTGGAAACCAGCAGCCTCTCTGTAGGGCAAAATGTGTTGACTGCAAGGGATGAGAGGGAGCTAATTAGCTGTCTGGGTGTTTTATTAGGCGGAGGAGAGACGGCTGTTCTGGGAGAGCAGGAGGGGAGGGCAACAAGAAGTCCTTTTATGCCAGTTTTTTTTTAGACCATTTGATTGTTTTCCACAAGAGCTGTCATTTTATGATGATGTGAAGCAGGAGATGTACTGGGACACCATCAGGGAACAAGTTTATATAGAATGGGCTATACTGGTCTGCCTTGTAGTAAACAGGAGGCATGTGGAAGCATGTGTGCATAATGCCTGTTGTACCGGACTCTCTTTGTGTGGGATTTCAAAATAGTTCAGAGACTTAATTGTGATGAAAGCCAGTAATCTTCAGTGTGTGGTACGGAGAAGCTGGGAGAAAGTGTGATCTGCTCTTTGAGACAGCCTCCTTAGCAAAGGCTGGGGAAGGAGAGTTGCATTTATTTCTCCAGTTAAAACACCTGCATTTTGGCTATTCAGTGACAAAGTGGCTTCCCTCCTAGAAACTCAGGTTTTATATATGGCATTTGTACTGTCAGCCAAAAATAGCATTTGTTGGGTAGCCCAGTAACAGAGTCTGGTACAAAGAGATCGTAGCTTCTACAAAGGAGGCCAGATAAGAAACAGCTGATTCCAGAAGCATTGGCTGAGATATAGCCCTTAATCCTATTACAGCAGGCAGTGGCCTCTCCAGGTCTCTTTCAGTTTGCTGCTGTTTTGTATTTTAAGTGGGCAGGATTTTCAGCTTGCTGCATGGGAAGAGACCTTTCCTTTCTAAAGGAAGGAGGGGGAAAACAGACATATGTGCTATGAGCACATAGGTACTTCTGCGTTGTAGCAGCTGTTGTGGTCACAGCAGGGTTAAGGAGAAAAGGAAGGTTCCTTTGTGTGCCAATAGGTGGGGATTTGAGCTCATTTTTCAAATTAAGAGTAACTAAGGAGAGAAAGCAATACCCTGATAAAGAGTCCAGTATGGTGGGAGACTCCAAGAACAAGAGATGTTGGCTTGGCTCGGCCTCAAGGTGTTGTTCTGGCAGAGGAATGCATGCAGGGATGGAAAACAAAGCAGGCCTCCGCTTCCAGCATGGCTCCGAGGTGCAGAGAACCACCCAGAGCAGCCAGTGTTCTGGCCCAGAGGGGATGAAGCACTGATGCTGAAAAGGTTGGCGGCAACTCTTACTCTCTGGCACTTTTAGCATGGCCTCAATCCTGAAGAGAAGCTCTGAGCTTTACTACTCAAAAAACAGTGGCATCAGGTAATCCTCATGATGTCAGCCCAGAATGGGAGCTTTTTACCCCAAACAGACACATGTGTCCTAGTCTGGCCCTTGGTGAATATTCTAATATAGTATTTTCCTTGCCATACTCCCAGTGCAGTGTGTGTGTGTGGAAGCAATATAATGTCCATGCAGGCTCCCTGCTGGGCTTGGCCAGCAGACTGTAAGTCCATTGAGGTGTCCATGGTCACAGTGAATCAGACCAGATCCCAACCCTAGGGTGCCAGGCTGAGACCTTTCTGCCAGTCCAGAGTGATCTGATAAGATCCCTTCATGTGTTATTTTGACCATCCACTGGATATGGATCTCCAGAAGCATCCCCAGGCTCTGGAGGCAGCTTTAGGCTAGCTGTAGTCCCACCAAAACCAGCAGACTTTTCTGGATGTGTGGATGCACATGCTTCTCTGTCTTGAAGGTTTATAACATAAAATCTTGAATTGTAAGCATATGTGTAAAGCCAGTATCTTGACTTGATCCGTCACTACGTTTTAGATTAGCTAGAGCTAGCTCTAAGCACAAGCCTTCTTCTCCATTCAGGTACAGTCTCATGGATGTTTTGGTGTGAGAGCCCACCACAAGTGTCTGGAGCAGTACTGTGGATTGTTAGTGGCAGTTTTTTAGTCTTGAGATATAATTTTAAGCATTTTGTTGTTCATCAAAGCAAGCAGGGCATTTCTTGATTAGGGAGATGTCTATTCCTCCTTTATCCTACTTCAAAGTTTAATACAGCACATGCTGAAAATGTATCAGTTGGTCTTCCCGCTGCCTACTTCCCCACCCTCACTTCCTCCAGCTATTTGCTTTGAGTTATTTGCTCAGGATTTGTTTTCCCTCTGACTTTACAAGTTTGCCTTGCACAGCAAAAAACCTGCTATTTTGTTCTCTCCAGTATTTGGCAGGAAAACAAAAAGAACACAAAGAAGAAAAGTATAATCGTTGGTTTTTTTTTCCCGATGATTTAACACACAAGTGCTCTTTTTAGTGCTACTGTTGCTGCTGTGTCAAAGCATCTTCTTTTCTTAAGCATGCCAAGAGCTACTGTGGAGAGAAGAAAACAGGGTGTCTCTTAGTGGTGTTTTCCTGGGACTGGCTGTGGGCCCTAAGCTGAGACCTGCCCATCCGCCTGGTGCTTGCTAGCAAGGCTCTCTCGCATGCTATTTTGATCCAGGTGATGGAACTGGACAGAGCAGCTTTTGTGCAGGGATTTACAAAACTTGTCTCTGCTGTTCTACTCCAGTAGGAGTTGAAACAGGTGTGCTGGAGCCATTGCACTCACTGCGTTTTTGTCTTTCTTGTGGTTCATGTTCCCATGCATTACTGTATTTTATGACACTCCTTATTTCAGGCTGGGGTAACCTTCCTCTCCTCAGGACCATACGAAACCATTGGTGAAAGATCACCAGTGACTTCTTTCAGATAACTGGGAAGGACTGGTTTGACAGCAGGGGTGGTAGTCGGGTTAGGAGTGGATCTGAGCAGTTTGAGCCTCCAATTTGGGATGCATACCTTCTGGTTTAGGCCATGAAGATAGCCTCTTTCATGGTGTTTTTGTTTTCTTCTTCCATCACCAGCTGAGAACAGGTGATGCAGAGAACACACTGAAAGAGAAGGCAATCCAGAAAGGCCAGTGAGATGAATGCTCCTAAGGGACTCTTCTGAGGGCTAGAAGGAAGAAGCCTGGGAGCACAGGCCATTTTCTCTCCTTTCCCTAAAGCTCTCAGTCATTCCTGCCCCTTCCTGCTTTCATGAGAGAAGCTGAAGAGTCCCTCACCTTCCTCTTACTGCACAGCGGGTGGAAGAGGCTTGCTCACAGAATGAAAGAAGAAGCAGGAAGAGGAAAATAAACAGCTGAGTCATTACTGAAAAAGAAACTCCAACCTAGCCTTCAGGAACAGGGAGGACTGGAAGGGGCTGGCCTGAAACCACAAACGTGGTGGTGGACCTCTACAAAGGCAGTCCCTCTCCATCTGGCTCCCACAGAGGATATGGAGGATACCAGGCAGCCCTTGCTCAGGGACAGTGGCAGCATTCAGTGGGTTCCAGCTACTGGGAAATATGTGGAAATTACATGCTGTAAGTCAGCTAAATAAACAAGGTGGAAAAATGGCTGAGTCAGAAAAAGCGGACTGTTACATTCAAATGCATTATTAATTGGAAAACTGCTTAACACGGCTGGAGATCCTATGGGCATACGTAAACAAAAATGTGATGTGGAGAGAACCAATTAAAACACTAATTAGTCCTTTTAGGAAGTTGTTCAGTTCTATTAATGATAACTCTTAGTTGTAAGCTAGGGAAGAGACAACTTACCTGTATTGTTGCTGCTGCCTTGAACATCAGTCCTGTGTGTGTGTTTGTTGCTTTTTTGTGTCTATATACAAATCACCAATTTAAGAAACTACACACTTACCAGTGAGTGCAGGTTAATGAAAAATTAGAGACTTGGTCTTCCAACTATCCCATGGGTAGTTTACCAAAGAGTTATACACTGAGATAGAATTTATGCAGGTCCATTTTGTGCAAGGAAGAACTACCAGGTTTTTCCTCTCATTCTCACAGCAGCAGAAATAAAGCAGCACCACTGGAGCTGAAACGATTTGCAAGAGCTAAGCATTAAGTATTAATAACTAAGTAATTATCATACCAATAACAATGATGAAAAACACAAGGTAGTGTTTCCAGAAGATTATGCTTTGCAGAGATGGAAAGAGGCTTCATGCAGTCAATTGCCCTGCCTGTACAAAATACAGTTTCTAAGCTGAGGAATTCAGCAATTACTGAACTGAATGTTCAATTGATCTTGGCCCCTGCAGCTCTGCCTTCACCAATAAAAGCAACTGTGGAATGAATAGGTTGTGGGAAAACGCCCATGTGCTTGCAAATAAGAACACCAGCCTCCTCGATTTCTATGTGGAGCTGTTTTTCTGTTGAAGTGCACCTAGAAGAAACCTTAATATGTTTGTGTCTTGGACTGTAAGCTCCTCCTGAAAATAATAGTTTTTCAAAGTATAGTAAATCTGACTATGTGTAAAGGGTCATTACTCCTTCTGCTCAGAGGCAATGAAACATCTACAACAAGCAGAAACCTTAGGAGGACACCAGAAGCTCTCTCATATGTTAGTGAAAATTATCCCAGACCATCATGTTGGCCTTCTGTCTTTTCCAAAATCTCAGATTCTTAAATTTTCTCTTAAAACTTAGTTTTGTACTCCAGAAAAAAATACAGCTTTAGGTTGCCAGGCAAGTTGCTGGGCAGATTTTCATTGGTGCATGAACTGCATGTGGAGCTTTGCAGACATCTGTTAAGTTTGCAAACTCTAGGACAGGCAAGCAGCACCTTGCTTTATATAACTATACTGGCTGGGGGCCTGTTGTGAAGAAGTGAAAGGAATGCTCTGTTCATCCAGCGACCAAGGCTTATTTGCCTCTTTCCATGACTGTACAGTTGGACTTCTATATCCTTCTGATTTGTAAGCCCCAGCTAAACTGCACCACATGTGCTTTGGTAGCTTAGTTGGCCACTCAAAATATAAAGTCTAGAGATGTGATTCAAAGTAGTTTTCTCATGTTTTGAATTTTGTATAAAGTTCTGTGGCATCTACCAGGACGAGAATTTTAGCCTAGACCTCACAGCTCTTTTGAGAACTTCTTTGAAGACATCTTTGCATTAATGCATTTGAAAAATCCTAATTATAAAAATGTGGCAAATTTTGAAGCAGAGCTACGAAGATGCTTTTTTTTCTTTTTTTTTTTTTACTACAAATTGAGCAAAAATATTGAATCCTCAGACTTTACTCATATCTGAATTTTTATCGCTTCTTTGATGTCTCATCTATAATACACTCTTCAGCTGGAATGGCCATTACTGAGTAGAGCAGTCCTGATGAGGTTGTAATAGTGAGCTTGCCTGGAAACAACAGCTCCTCTTTTTGCTTTGCTCTGCATCCATGTGCAAGGGTGCTAGACTCCCTGTTCTAAACTTCCGCTTGAAACCAGGTGGGATAAGTCATCTCAAGAAGCATCTGTCTGTCACTGGTGACTAAGACTGCTTAATGTAGAGCAGATACCCAGCTTTTAAATAGATGGTTCATAATAGGTGATGCAAATCCCACACACAGAGAAAGATTCTGATCAATTGAAGCTCTCTCATGGTTATGTGAATTTTTCCATTGTTGAGATTAGAAAAAAATGTTGGAAAAATGAAATTCCAAATAACTGTGTAAATTATAATAGCCTAAAACAACCTTGCAAACCATTATTGAACAAAACATCATCGTAAAGCTCTTGTGTGGTGGAGATTCCTCTATTTGCTTTCCTTTCAAGATGCAGCTGCAATAACAAGGCATATGTGATTTTAATGTGACACCATAATCTGTCAACCCTGAGAACTAGGGAGCAGGCACATATAAGATAACTAGCCCAACCTCACGATGATAAACATGTCAAGATACAAAATCAGTTCTTGCCTTACAAATGAGAGAAAGATGTCATGTAATTGGAGATGTCATGCTATGCTGGGATGAGCAACATTCCCACAATTAATCATACCAAATACATTATGCAGTAGTTGCTGCTTGAAGACAAAGGAGGAATAAATACTCATGTAAACATGCCAAATGTGAACTCTGTACAGATGTTGATTGCTGTTCCATATTTAGCATGGAGGACATCGGTACGGGGAAGATGTGTTAAAGCACACGTAAACATCCAAGCAGAATGATAGCTTGGGAAAGGGCTTATGGCTCTGTGTGGAGACTGCAGGTAATGTGGCTGGTGTCTTTTCTAGGGTCCTTAGGAAAATGGATATTAGGAGCTCCCCTATTGACAGCAAAGGGAAAATTGCCATTTTCTTGACTTCAGACTGCATCGAGGCCCTGGTGAACAAGAGATGCTTGGCTGATTGTACAGTGGCTTAGAAACTGAAGGCGAGTTCAAAAGTTCCTAACAACACTTCCAAACAAGAACTTTGTGAACACAATGCAAAAGCGACCATGCATATTTACTGGAATAAAAAAAACAAATTAGCTTCAAGCTGGTTTTGTGATTCCTCCCTGACTTGTATGTTTACTTTTCATTATTATTGATTCCTTCTGACCTTCAAGTGCTTCTTCTGCATTGTACATGCTCCACATTGAATAGCTTACTGGCAATAATATTAACAGCAACAGAAAATGTTAACAATAGAGACTACTTGCATGGAGAGATGTCACCTTGCGAAAAAATGTGGGTTTTTTTTCATCAGAAAAAATCATCTGGGGACCAAAAATAATACACTGTATGACCTTGTATATAGCAAAACTGACTGGTATTGCATGAATTTTGATATCATAGCAAATGACTGACAAGCAGTGCAGAGACATATGATCCATCCTGAAAACAGCTCAGACATGAGATTGATACATAAGATTAGGAAGCCATAACCTCTAGGTGACCCATATGGAAATGAGAGCAAGACTCAATTCAATGAGTAAAATGCTTGCTTCAGCCAAAATGAAGAAGTTTTGCATTGATTTAATTTTTGCCTTTGACTTTTTTACCACTGCTCTTTGATAGCCTTGTCAGCAGCCAAGTTTCCACTCTCATAGCCATCAGTGATTTGGGAGCGTGGTTGAAGAGTGCTTCTGAAGATGTGTCTCCCTTGGCATCTGCCAGGGTTCCTGTAGCTGTGCTGGTCCCTTCTAACTCTTGGCCTGGGTTTACTTCAGCTGCCTCCCCCTGTCCTTATGGGAGAGACAGTGAGGCAATGGCAAAAGTTGCTTCCTCCTCTGTTTCTGAAGTATCTATTCCATGAAGGGGTGCATTGCTTTCGGGAGCTGACATTCTCCCCTAGGTGCAATCAGAGCCTAGAGATCCAGCCTGCTGCACTAGACACACTGCATACCTAGAGTTACATGTAATATATCCAGGCCCTGATGTTCCTTTGCTAATTGATTTCTTCATCATGGGCTAGCCTGTTCAGTAAGCAAAATTTTCCTAGGAGGCAAAAATGCCTTTTGCTCTGTTTTCCATGGGGAGCTCTTGTAGAATAAGGACTATGGAACAGCTTACTTTGAAATAGCTGTGCCAGGAGTCCTTCTGCCCTTCTTCCCAGGGTGAAATTTGTTTTTGTTTTTGTTTTAGTACTATGGAAAAAATCCTCTTTCCATAAGAAGCAGCTGAACACAAAAACCTTTTACAGTCCTCTCATAAAGCTGTAATAAAATTTGCATGAGAGAAGAATTTCTTCTTGTTTATTTGGTGCCCTTTGTACCCCCTATTGCCTAGAGCTAGCACATCTGACAGCAATGATGGGCTGTGGATATGGGAATAACAGTGCTGTGAAATCTTCCCCATAACGACAGTACTTGTGGTCTGACTTGTAGATAGTAATGCCATGGAGTGGCATCCATGGCAGAGAAGCTGACTCCAAGATTTTAAAAAATAGAGGCTTAAGGTTCGACTCATGTTGAACATGAAAATCCCTATTAGGTGTGATTTTCTGGGAAGCGTCAGGCCAGGAGACAAAGTGTGATGGATGCCCCACTTCCTCAGGGTCCTTGGAAGAATCCTTGCCCTCAGCTGCAACAGCAGCTACTGTGAGCTCAGAGCATTTAGAAATCAAATCGTTAGAGATGTGGATGGAGGGCTGAGATTTTCCAGAGCCTTTAAGAAGTGTTCTACTAGGCTCTTAGATACCTGTGTTATTAAGATGCTTTTGAAGCTTTTAGACAGGAGACACTAACTTTAGGCACTCACTTTTGAGACTCTCAGCCAGAGGGAAAACAAACCACTGATAAAAATTAGGCAGGGACTGTGTTTTGGAGATATTCCCACAGTTATTTACACATCTGTGTATTATCTTGTATTGGTCACTGGTTTTTTGTATGTGTATGTGTGGTTTGTTTGGGTTTTTTTACAGTGCACCTACCACAAACCTCAATTCAAATACAACCCAGCCAACAAGGCAGTCACTAGCATGTTGGGACCATATCCAGGGTGCATGTTTTGAAGAGGATGAGCACATACATTTTAAGCAACAGCTTCTTGATGTGCAGGTGCACAATAGGCTGTCAAATGTTACCTCTCTCAGTCGTCATTGCATGGCAAGTTCACAGCTGCTCCTTGTGTACTGGAGATTACATGGTGACTGCCCACTAACGGAGACACCGAAGCCAGTTGAAGAAATCTGCTGCTGCAGAAAAACTTGACTTTGACCTTTCCCCATAACTTATCTTCTTCTTTTTTTTTCCTTCCTTTTCATTCTTTCAAGAACTGTGAAGCCCCAGAGACTCAAGGGAGAATTCGTACAGCTCAGGTCATTTTACCAGTCTCTGCAGTCATTCAGTCAGTAATAAACACTCTAGCAGGGCAATGATTATTGGAATAGTAGGGGGCATTCTAGCCAGCAAGCCACATGAAAATGATGGACAGTTGCTGAAATCAAGAGAACTACAAAGCAAAGGAACAAAAGCATAAGTAAGTGAATCATTAGGCTGGGCTCAGAGACGTGACATACCAAGTGCTGTGCCTCCTATAAATTTGGTGAGTTGATGATTTACCATAGCAGGGCTTTTCAGTAAAGAAAATGAAAACTTCAGGAGGGCTCTTCAGTTCCAAGAAACAGCACCAAGAGAAACATACCCTTTGTGTCACAACAGCTGACTTGGTATTAAAAGCATTGATACCAATGAATGAGGCTGGAAGAGGCTTCAGACTCTCTCATTCCTATTAGGGTTTAAAAGCACTAGTGCCAGATCCTGCAGTTCTTACTCAAGCAAAGCTCCCATTGATGTGTTCTTAATCTGGAAAAAGTCAACATGGATATTTATGGAGCTGTAGTGCCGAGGGGCTCTAATAAAAACTCTGCTAGACATTGTACCTATATTTAGTAGCAGTCAGTTCATGTCTCATAGAACTTGTGGTTTCATAGACAAGACTGATAAAGCCAATGTGGGGTAGGAATTGCTGTATTCCTGCTTTATGGATAAAAGTTAGGGTTAAAGATTGCAGGGGGATTTTCAAAGTCACATAGTGATATTGGATATTTATTTCCCATGCATTTTAAAGGGAACTGGACGTACAGATGCCTTGGTTGTGTTGAAAGGCTCAGCCAAACACAGGCATCCCAGTTTTGGCGGGATGTTGGGAAGTCTGTGACGGGTGTGTAATTAGTTTAGATCTAGACATTCCAGGCCAGTCTGCTATGCCAAGAACATCCATTTTTGGAGAGAGTTTGCCTCAAGTTAAGGCTGCAGATTTCTGACCTATGGACAATTGCTGTTGTCAATGTATGGATATAAAAACAAAGAGGTTGAACACAGAGTGAGGGGGAAATGGGAACCCACAGAACCTTGATTACTTTGCAGCTTCCTTTGTCTTTGGGGTATGTGGCTGCCCCTTCTTTTATGGAAACCACTTGAAACCCACCATGACTTGACTGCGTTGCAACTGGATACCTAAGCTGGTTAGCTGTACAGAATGCTTCTAAGTGAAATTTGGCAGCTGTGCACGGAGCATCCAGGGCCATAGAAACCTAACCTGTCACAGAAATTTCCAGGCCAATGACAACCACCATGTCTTGGAAAGAGACCAACAAAGCAGAGAAAAGAGCTTGGAAAATTGGAAAGGGTTCAGAAAAAAAAGCTCACCAAGTGATCTGAAGTCTAGGAAATCTGCCTTACATTCAGAGTCATCAGGAGCTCCATGTATTTACTCAAGGGAAGATTGAGAAGTGATTTAGTAGAAACTTCTACACGGGCAGTGACTTTTGAAAAGAAATGGTGATCGCCTGACCCCTCCCTGTAAGATTTGTGACTGAAAATTCCCCCTGGACAAATTTGTGCACAAAATTTACTTTGGGAAAGATCAATTTCACTGCTAGAACAGCAGATTCTCACCAGTGAAAGGTTTGAAAGCAAACCTGAAGCTTTTCTCAAAGCTGTGGCTTTAGCCAGGCAGAAGTGTTCAGTTTGATCCAGGAGTTACTTTGTGAGGAGCAAAGGACAGTGCTGTATAAAAGTGAGGCAAAATGGTCACTGCACTTTTTAAACTCACAAGCTGGGAAAGTCAAACAGAAAAAGAACTTTATCAGATACTGCTTTAAAAATTCCTGTAGTATTTCTTTAAGGTTGCATATTTCTCGTCTTCATACAAAAGGCTCCTTGGATTGGAGCTCTTGCAGTGTCCTGCAAATTTATTAGCCAGACATTTCAGGCTAATGAAATCAGTCAACGTAATGGATACAACACATACCTAAATATAATCAAATTAAGAATGCAGGCTGTCTCCTAACTTTGGATGAGATCTAGAGAGGCCTCAAACAGGATTGTCTAATGTATTCGAGGTCACTGCGGGGCCTGATTTTCAGAAGCACATAATGTGTGGCCATTGCTCTTGTGCTATTTGTGTCCCAGCACAGGTCAACATTCCCTGCGCTGTGCTCTTTGGGAAAGGTGCCCTCATTCTTGCTCTTGAGCCCTCAAAAAAAGTCCCGTGATTTGCCAGTACTCTTTCCCAGTGGGATTCAGCACAAGTGTTGTGACTTAAATCTGCCACTACTGAGCTTGCTTTTTCTTGAAATTTCACATTTGAACTACTAGGTATTTAAAGACTCAACTGATTTCTAGTTCTAGCTTGAATGGAAGTTTGTTTATATATGAATATTAACACACACATCCCACACCCCCCCACCGGATATAAATAACCACAGAATAATAACAAAAGTCTAAGGTAGCAAAAATAGGGGATCAGATGCATGACTGAAAATAATGAATTACACTTATTTGTGAATAACAGAGCAACCGAACTGCTCTCCTACCCTGCATTTTGCTGCTCAAAATGCTCTCTTGTCTTTAGTGGACAACCCCTCAATCCTATACAAACTAAAAAGACTGTAACTTGTCCTTTTAATGCCTTTTTTCTCTCTCTCCTAAGGGGTCATCTGGAAGATAGAAGCACAAAGGTTTACTGCAGAGGGAGCGGAGGAAGATCCCCAGCATCCCCCAGAATAGCCATTCAGCCCCCATGAGTATCACAGGACAAGCAGGGATGCTGTGTGCCGTCAGCTGCTGGGTTCCCCTCCACTTGCCTCCTCCCCACCTGTTCCCAGGCCCCAATGCAAGTGTGAGATGGGATTTCAGCGAGTGGAGCACTGGAGGGGGGTGAGCTGGGAGGAGGGGGGGTCTGACACATCCAGGATGAAATGTCCAGGTGCAGGGAGCCAGAACAAAGAAATAAGGAACAAAGAAGGAAAAGGAGAGGAAAGGCTGGCGTGCGCATGCACGCGGATCAATAAAAAGTGTAATGCATCTTTCTTTAATTAAATCCCACCCTTGGATCCACTGGGCAGCCCCGACCTCTGCTCCCCTCGGGTTTGTTGACTGGCACAGCTGTTAGTAAATCACCTGCTGGTGCGGCTCTCTGGGGCTTTAAAGGTCATCTGTCAGCGGCTGCTGGGCAGAGATAAAGAAGAAAAACAGAACCAAAAGTCTAAAAACAACAAAAAAACCCCACTTTTTGAAAGCAAAGCCGCTCGAGCGCTCTGTGTCCAGACTTCCCACTGTTTACCTGGGGGTGAGGGGCTTTTTATTCATCCAGTTCCCCCCCTACTTTTTTTGTATGTGTTTTTCCAATATAATCCTTTTGTTTCAGGCTTTTCTTTCCCGCAGGAGAATCTGTAACCCTGCAACAGCACTTCTGAGTCCCCAAGCGCTGCACTCAACCTGCTGTGGGAAGGGGAGATGCTGCTTGGGTTGGGAGGGAGCAGCGGGTCCCCTGCCCTTGCACCTCTGTCCCCACTGCTCTGCCCCTGGCACTCAGCATCGTGCCACAACATGGCTGGGTGTGCAGGATGGTGGTGGTGGGAAGGACACAGCTCATTTCCCCCTCTTCCTGGGGTTTGACTGCTAAGAGCTGCAGCCAGGAGAGGCATGGAGGGTGCCCCCATGTCTCCTGCTTCATTTAAGAGCTGTTTTTAAGCTAAGGGGCTCTCCCTTATTGGTGCCCGCCTGAGCTATGCTGAAGCTGCATTGGAGCCATGCCCATGCCATGTCCCCCATTGCAGCCTGACCCCATGTCTCAACTTCACAGCTTGACCTCCCTCCTTCTTCACCACTGTGGCCTTGGCAGGTGATCGGGACTCTTGGTTGAACCTGCTCTGCTGGTCTTGCTTGAGCCCTGTGGGGCTGGGTCCTT